AAATGACATAATTATGACTACATTATGATACAATAAATGAGATAAATATGGGAGAGATATGATTTAAAAATGAGCCATATATGGCACATAAATGAGTCATTCATGGCTCATTTTTTATCTCATTTTTAACGGCCTGAGTGGTCGAATGATTCACTACTGACTCGCTACTAAGGAGCCTAAAATTCTGTTTCTGCCATACGCTGCTTCCGATGCCTTTTGTATGCATACCAAAATGACCATACTGCACTGGTACTCGAGAGAAAGTTTATTCTTTGGCCCCAAAGCTGATAGTACAATGTGGAACTTTTTCATTTTCAGTCAAAAGATCCCGTCTTTCACACATTCTGATAAGCTGACAGCTTTCATATAGACATAAATTAATGACATAACTCAGTTCAAGTCAAAAATAGTAGAATGAGCTTGTCGAAACAGTTAACCGTTTCACCGGTTATTCCATGCCTATTCGCTTTATCGGTTCTGTTGAACTGACTATAACCGTAGAAATTCTTTGGTATAATAATCGTTTGAAATTTGTGTCTCGGTAATTACTGTTCAGCATTGCCTAAAGAAATTAAGGTTAAAATCCATGTTGTTAAACTGCTTCAAGCTACTGTACGAAAAATTCTACGAAATATAAAGCTCAACTACACTTTTGTTAAATGTTATATCAGTTTAGAAAGGTAGAAAACAATTTCTTGACTCATTCTTGATTCCCATATTTAAGTGAAAGAAAGTGGACCAAATTAAATCTTCAAACGTTTTCTTTGATCCCGTTGTCTCACTTTACTCAGTGTTATAATGCTTCACTGGTTTTTAATTAGTTAGTTCTTTCACAAAGAACTGATAACCCATTCCAATTTAATACGAACTGGAACGTGAGAATCAGTCCTCGTTCAAAAGAACTAAACTGGAACTATCAAATCCCTAACTTGGACATTGTCTGATAATTTCGTGCTGATTGGTGTTATTGAAACTGAGCTTTGAGAGAGTGAAAAGGTCTCATACCGAACCGAACATACAAAACTGAGATAATTTGATAACGAAAGATGCAAAAATCACAATAACGTATAATTTATATACAAAATATAACTGAAGATAGCTAAAAAGTATTTTCAACCGTTGGTTTTGATTTTAATTTCGACAATAACTGGACTATCAGTAACAGAAAGTAAAAATCGATTCGGTGATAAAGGTACAATATTTTGAATTGGACCCAAACCAAACTGCAGCGTTTGAGGATTTTTCTAAACAAATATTTAGATGAAATAAACAACATTATATACATTGTTCACAATATATACCTCAAAACGATTTTTAAACAGTCGAACATATCCATCTTTACTTGTACAAATGACTAAACTTGGCGATACAACAATTGCAGATGAATGTAATTGTACTGTTCGTTTATCTAACATATGAGAGACACGTATGAGCATGACAATGTTTCATCAAAATAGTATATTCCTACCAAGAAATGAGGTAATGAGTGGATGGGCAACTTGATACCATCTGATATTATGAACAGCCTTATGTTTTACAGCTTCGAATGATGGCACCGTCCCTGTGATTAGTGAGATTATGGTTAAATTTAGACAACTGATGAATTTAAAAATCTTACACAGATTATAATTATAATCACTGTGGACTGCTAACAAATGGTGATTGTCTATGGACCATACAACATGAGTCACATAGGACGCATCGGTCTATAGCATTAATATTCATATTTCTACTGAATGGATCACAATCAATGACACCTACTTTGAGTGTACCATTATCGCGCAAGTTAAATTCACCATTACCTTCAACATCATACACGTATACATTGCCGTTTTGTAAACCAACAGCCACCATTTCACCATCTAGAATGGTAGAAAGCGCAATCCTAGTCTTTATTTGTCTCACGCTGACTTTTAGTCATCCATAGCTAACAGGTGAGCAGCTCAACATTATATGTTGATTAATATAAAGTTTAAAAACGTAAATATTAATTGTTACAGTGTTCGTTCATATAAAAGAAGGTAGAATATATTGAAGAGAGAAATATCCGAGAATAAAATGTTTCAGATTTCTATTTCTGACGCTGATCAATGTTGTAATCAAAAGCAGCTCCTCATTTATGTGAACAAAATGCGTCTTGCTAACCTCTTTGCTACAATTAATATTTACGTTTCTGTAAAGAATTGTAGAAGTGATTACTTGGCGAAAACTTGACAGCTTTGATGCCTGCATTGACTTTCACTGTCACAGTTGCGATATAATAACTTGTTAAAGAATCATATAACAACAATTTACTTGTCTCAGTACCCAAAATAATTACGTTTCGCTCTGGGTGTACGTCACAACAGGATACTGGTTGCTAAATTAAAAAGCTTTTTCTTTCTCACGGTCAAATTCTCTTTGTTGTCTTACCGTGCATTTCGACGTCCATTCGACAGATTTGGAATCAATATTCCATTTGAATAAATAACGATCACTATTAACCGAGAAAAATGTATTTGAATTCATCATACCACATGCCGCTACGGTACTTCCCGTATGTCCCTATTAAAAGAAAAGATAATAAATGTTCATGTTGAGTGATATCTTCAATTTTCTCATTATATCGATTTCTGGTATATTCACCTGTATAATAATATCGAACTCTTGGCGATTCATTTGTTTCTCTAATATGAAATTGAATTTTGTTCCCACGATAACTGCAAACGTTCCATTTTGATATTTTACACAACAGATCGTTCGTATAGGACCATAATCGGCATTCATCTGAGAAAATTGACATATGTGACATTGATCGAGGCAATATATGTTAGATATACTTTCCACTTACGGTATATTGTTCAATTGTATCTGAGTTTGCGTTCCATATGATAACTTTCTCTTGATTAGCTAACGCGTATGTGTCACGATCCATATATGTAATACTTTGAATTTCATCCTATGAAACGAACACAAATTTCTCATTATCACTAAATCAAGATGTGAGTCAATCACTCATATATACGAACATCCGTCATAGATTCTCGAACACGTTTCAGTTTTGGTGTGCCATCTATTAATTCCCAAATATGGACACCTCCTACTTTATCTCCAACCAGTAATCTGTCAGAAAGACCATCTGTAGCAGCACCAGTATATACATTCTTGAAGGTAAACACAAATGTAACTATCAACAAGATATATGAAGAGAGCAAGAAAAAGTAACATCAACAATATACCTGAACGTCAGCTTCCTTGTTGGCTTTCACTTTTAAAGGTTTTGTATTCCAACTGATGTGATAAAACATTAAATGTTGTCGACTTATACACGCTAACCAATTAGATGTGTCAAAGGCAAAACCTGTCCATAATAATTTCTCTGAATTGCACTGAAACAGAGAATATAAGCTGGTATGGTAAAGAATAGATACGACGGAAATAATAACTTACTATTACACTATATAATACTTCATTACGTTTCCAATCGAGTATTAACACAACTTGTTGTTTTTCTCTTGCAATAGTTAATATAATATTATCATTTAGTTTTGGAGAAAATGATAAAAAATACAAAGTTGAACTAAATTGATCTTTTCGTAGTTCGCTTAGTGTGCGAAGTGATCCATGATCCCATATGTGAATTTTTGCTTTGTAGTTATTACGTTGTGTGCCAATTTCAGCTGATGCTACAATACTCTGATGACGATGAACTGTTACACTAAAATAGAAAAAATATCGAAACATTTGTTTAAGAAGGTGTAAATAGAATGAATGATATAAAGTCAGTGAACAAAATATGTACGTGTATTATACTGACCATGAGATTTTCTCATTATGATTTGTATAAAAACGTTGATGTTTCAAATTGTATTTGTACAAAATAATGAGTGACCCAATATAATAGAGAATTTCATCAAATAATAAGCTATGAAGCATTTTTGTTTCATCATGTTGATCATAATATCCGTAACTTGTAAGCGTTAAGGAGAAAAATAGTTGTCTCTGACTTTTATATGAAACAATAGGATTCTAAAATTTAGCTACTTTTTTTCTAACAGTAATCATATCCAAATAGATCTATTCTAGGCATGCAATAATCCGATAGTTCGATCACCGAACGTGTTCGAATGAAGATTGCAAATACGATAATTAATATTTTTCTCATCGGAGATATCGGCGAGCGTTCTGCTGAGAAACTATTAGGACAAAATACCATAAACCTTATAAAGATACATTCAGATTAGGACTACAGCTTTCTCTCTACTTTATTTGCACAGTGAGGAATAGCATTTTTGCATGAAAACAAAGTCAATCTGCTACAGAGGCTACATTAGTAAAGTATGCTTTAGTTAGAGAGTAAATCAGATATAGTGGAAACTAAAGGTACTCTGGACTTCCTGGAATAAAGCAAACATAAAGTTGCTGCTCTAATTCAAACTTTTCTTTACATGACAACCTACGGCTAATCATGGCTGCTCCTTCGTTTGGTGTAATCTTCACCATTTTTTGTGTTTTACAGAGATTTCTTTCATGTGTTTTTTCGTTCTCAAGTTCTTAGCTTTGATAAACTGTTTCTTTTAAACCTTGGGTAGCGAATCGCTCGTTGACCAAACATGTTCGGTAGCGATCCGGTAGAGCACATATTCGCTCATACTGTACACTAGTTAGTCTATTTTCTCACTGGTTAGTTCCTACAAAGTTCAATTTTATCCCATTTGTCTTTAGTCCAGATCAGGCATGCAACCATTCCAACCTGGGGCTCACTGATCGGCGCCGAACATGTCCGATTGCGAACCATTTGGAGACCGAACATGTTCGGTAACAAATCGTTCTGCGCCGATCAGCGAGCCTTGGTTTAGGATTGTTGGATGCCTAATCTATTTTTTTCTGATACTAAAGTAAAGATAAAATAACTACTAGGCATGTTGATGTTACGACCAACAGCAAAGATATTGAATGACTTCTTCAGTCAGAGGATACATCCAGGCGGTTTCCAAATGAACATCGTCTAAATAGTCGAAATAAATTGTTACTATTCAATTAAAAGGTGACAGCTATATAAAAACAAAGCACTTGCCTTTTTCCGTTGTTGCTCCAATTGAATAATGTTTTCCACCGTATCCATTTAGATTACGCGGCGTTTCATATTCATTAAAAATATCTAAATTTCTTGCGATTCCAAGATGTTCCCGAGCATTAACAGTTTCATCTTCTGTACATCCAATAAATGTATCCGTTTGTTTCAACGCATTGAACAATTTTGAAAAACTTGTTATCTGTAAGAAAAAAATCAATTTATCCATAACAAAAAAGAAAATTTTTACTCTAGTTCTTACCTCTGAACACGAAAATTTTGAAAATGAAAACAAATGTGTAATATCCATTCCGTTTGTATATGGACTTAAAACTTCTGTTACATTATCATTTAACCATTCTTCAAATGTTTTCTTAATATTTCGATTTAACAATACAATTTCTCTCATATCCAATCGAGAATAGGGAATCAAAATAATTTGATCTCGATAAGATGGACGATAAGAATATAAAGTATTTTGTGAATTTCGAACAAGTGACCAAGTAGTAGTATCGAAATCATAATCATCGGCGAACTCGTCTAATGCATGGTGATAATAGGTTTTTATAAAGTGACTGGTGGCAACAACGTATGAATGACGATTTACGAACTCATTTATTTGATGCATTTCATGTCCACTCATATCATAAATATGTCGTATGCCACCTGATGTTGATATCAAATTTGGTTGAGTATTTAAATAATTTAAAAATGCTTCCCACGATTTCAACTCAAAATCATTCACAGCAATTTTAACACCGCTAAAAGATAAATTATTTCTTGGAAATTTTTTTTTAATAGACTAATATAAAAATATACCTACCGATGATGACTATCGCCATTTCGAAAAAAACGAACCAAAACACCTTGAATGACGGTGCGTCCAATAAGAGATCTACCTTCAAAATAGACAAGACCAACTTTTAGATTAAAATAATATGACGTCATCGTTTTCACTTTTTGGTAATATTCTGCAGTTTAATATGAGATGTTACTGTTTCCCTACCTACTGTGGACGAAAAATAGTTAATAGCTCAATGTAAGACATACACAAACGAGCAGACAGAAAGAAGAAAAAAAAGAAAAATGGATTGATCTCAGAAATACAGAAAATAATGCGTATGCGATCGATTAACGGATGGGATCAGAGTTTCTGGACAAAATGTCATTGATTTTTTAGAAGAGTTTCTTATTGATCCGAAGAAGTGCTTTATAATCTACAAAAAACGGACTTTTCGGATCTATGTTTGAAACTATTTGATCAACGTTCGTTCTTGGAGAACTCGCGAGATTTCCAAAAGTCTTGAAAAATAAGTTTGGACAGCCTTTTTTTTGTTTCATATGATTTTGCTTCTCCAGCTGAAATTATCTTTTTGTGTCAGTTTGTAGAGCAAACATTTCTCTACAAAATTATGTGCTTGAAACCTTTTAAACTTTCAAACTTGGGCGAAGTATTATTATTTTAGAATTAGAATGGTGCATGTTTTGCTGATTTTTCGTAAAATAGTGAACTTTAGCAAAGTGACATCTATTCTGCTCTTTATGATTTTTTTCCGTTCATTCAAAAATAAATTTTTATATCGCATTTGCTAGAGAAATGTTTTGTCTACAACTTTGTAACCTCATTCGGAATATGTCCTCAATGACCAAAGAAAGGAAAAAAGTCTGTTCAAACTTATTTTTCAAGGCTTTTGGAAATCTCGCGAGTTCTCCAAGAACGAACGTTGATCAAATAGTTTCAAACATAGATCCGAAAAGTCCGTTTTTCGTAGATTATAAAACACTTCTTTGGATCAATTAGAAACTCTTCTAAAGAGGTTAAAAAGTCAATGACATTTTGTCCACAAGCTTCGAAGTCACCCATTACGATTCTAAGCTATAAAAATAAATGAGAAACGTGTCAGTATTACTGTCGTTTCATGCATGTCTCGTTTTGAATGCATAGAAAATCTTATGCGCTATGACTCTTACCTGTCGAGATTGTATAATTTAAATCAGAAGGCATATTATTATTACCATAACTTTTAATAGACACTGATGATGATTTTGATAGCTGTGATTTTCTGTTTAATCGACTCAAATACTTAGAATGTGTTTTTTTTAGCCTTGTGGCAGCAGGCGCTGCTTGTGTTGATATTGTGTCTCCGTCATCAACATCGACTGATACAGGTTCTTCGTCATCGTCTGAACTATTTCGTTTATTATGATGAAACGATTGTATTGATCGACTTTTTTCACGTTTTAACTCAGTACTGCTGCGCTTTGAATTTGAATTTGTCGTACCTTCATTTAATTGTTCATTATCTGTCATTTTACGATTAATATTAACAGATCCGGGTTGTTGCTCTTCAATTTGACTATTTCTAATAAGAAATGATCGTAGTGTTTGATGGGATAATTTTCTTCTCTGCGATAAACTGATTGAAGAAGATGCAGATGGTTTCCAACGTTTTTCCGATGTTATTGTCTTTAGTTTTCCGCTATTAACTTCTTCATCTGTTCAAAAACGGATGAAAATCTGTATTTGTGATCTGCTGTCAAAACGTTGTCAAAGTTCCGAGAGAAGGGTGAAATTAATAAGATTCATCTTGTACTTACTTTTATTTGTTATTGCAGATTCTTTAAGTGATGATATTAATGATGATGAATTTTGTGATGATCTATTTGATGACTTCACTAAAGATGATTTATTTTGAAAAGAGACTGAAGTCGGAGACGGATAATATATTCCATCATCATCTGAAAATTCCTAAAAGGAAAATCAAACATATTATCAAATGTCACATCTTTGTTTCCTTTTTCTATGAGTGAGTAGGTAGGCAGAAAAATAAAAAAAATTTGTTTAAAAACCCGTAAAGTGTTTCTAACTTCACACAATTTCTATATGCTTGTCATATATTAATATTATAACAAAAATTGAAGTTTAATAATTTTTTCTGTTTCCATGTTTCACTACTCTTATTATCATCATCATTACATATACTACCGGTCTATTTGCTTATCTATAAAATGAAAAATCTACTATAATACTTTTTATTGTAAAATTCATAAAAAATAAAACATGTATTCAATTATCTACAGTAGTCAACGAAACAGTTTAATTAATCATTTTATGCTACAGTAAATGTTTGTCCTACATAGTGATAGACAAAAACATCTGACGTTCTGTATCTATCCACGAGAAGTGGTCATTTAAATCTTTATGACATAGAATCCTCATCACATACTGATCTTTTAAATTACTTTTGAATCATCTTATAAAATTCATCGTCAAACCGTGTTATCTATTTGAGGTATCACATGAATCAACATTTTGGTTCAATTATAGGCCATACGAAAATTAAGCTCTGGTGTTAGAGCGTTATTCTGCTCAGATATGACTTATACATACCACAGGTTTCATTTTCATATATAAAAGTAACCATTGATTCATTTAGCACAAAAATTCTCACTAAAATTGTTTTGATCTCGAGTTGGTGTAGTAACTGCAAGTTACTAGCTCATATAGATGGAGAGATAGACGCCTTTACTGTATAAAGAAAATAGGATGTGAATACAAAATTACACGTTGTTCCCATGAATTAAATAGAGTACTTCGGGGTAATTAGAGGCACTCTTCGAAAGTTTCGTCCTTTTTTTGCTATTTCTTGGCCGTTTTTGATCGGAAAAAGTTGCTATTGAACATGATGGTAGACCAAACATTTTTCTACACGCTCATGTAAAA